AGGATTTGTTGGACAAGTAAATACGGCAATTTCTCGTGTTTTTGGTGATAACAAGTGATAATCGTGATATTAATAAACTGTTACGCTTAAAAGAAGTCGTTTCAATTGCAGGAAAATCGTCCTAAATTTCCCTAACCTGTACTGTTTTGCACGATTGTAAACAGGGACCAGTGGCGTGAGTTGTTTTGAATTTATAAGCTGAGAGCCATATTCGATCCCTATTGAATCGCTATCAAATCCTTAAAAAATTTGCGCTACTATTATAGCGTTTATAATTTCAAACATATAATGTAGAGATAAAGGTCAGAAAATGAATGAATCTTTCATGCTTAGAATAAATCGATAATACAGATTTTTACTACGCCTAGCAGCCAGGCGATTTTCCGATTATTCTACTCTTTGATCGGTACCTACTTTATCCCTACCACCGGTTTTTCATTAATAAATCGCCGATCGATAGAATTTAATGTTGGACCCAAACAAATCGGGATTTATGAATGACTATCTTGGTCTATTTATTAATGTCTTTGTAGGCAACCGTATATTTTTGAAGCATTAGTGATTTTCGGGGATTTTTTGCCCGTTGTGGATGGGAATTTGGTTCCCTTCGAACGAACCCTTGAAAATCCCCCACGTGTGCTAGCGAAACGTCAGAACCAAATTCCCATAGACGATAGCCTCAAACTCGCAATCACCGGTTGTTTTAACCATGACTGCGTAAGCCCTAACCATTATTCATTGGTTGAGCAGTGTATTTCGATAAACCATTAATCGCCAATAGCTGCGTCCTTTTTTAAAAGCAATGACGGAAAAGAGAGGGAAATCTATTGATGGGGCGGCGCTGTAACTCTGGCTATACACTGCTCAACAATTGACGATCGGCCAATGCTTTGCAATGGCAATTTAACACAACGCAAAATTATATGAATTGAGCGTGTTGATTGACTGAGTGAAAACAATCAATTAAGGCCCCGGCCTTGTACGACCTAACACGTGCCGGCTTATGTGATTCGCATCTAATTGGTACGACTGTGCGTACTCACCGATGACCTGTGGGAGAAGGGGCCGTCACAGTTGGCAAGCCTGTCGATGAGCGCCTGCTTCCTCTCCTCTAGAGTGAGTTTGTAGCACCTGGTCAGATCCAGAGGCTCGAGAACGGAAGGCACTTTCTGCAACGCAAAAACAAAACATTTCTTCCGATATGGGAAAAAACAAGAGTGAGGGGGGTGACACACAACAAAATCGGCATTAGTAACGAGTGATTAATGACACCAAGACAATGCACGAAAAAGGCCGAATCGATATGTTGGCAGCATATTTCGTCAGTCACGAGACGTTTGGTCTGATGGATCGGGATTGGGAATTTTTGCTGGATAATCGTGGCAGACAGCTGAAGGTCGACGTAGTAGACAGTATTTGATTGGAAAATCGATTTTCTAAAAATTGGAAAATAAGACAGTGTTTGTCGAAGCTTCTAATAACTAATCTAACGATAACCAATCGAAGTACGGATTTGCCGATACCAATCAATAGATAATTGACAGTTAATGATTTTTTTTAAATTAATTTCTCTGAATTTATTCCAGAAGTTGATCTGCCGATTGCACTGAGCAATAGCTATATATATGACACGCTCACGTTGGTGTAAATCTTCTCGGATGAGACTCTCAAGAAATCTTTTTTCGAAATATTCTGTGTTAATGGTAAAGTTCCCGAAAAATCAGCCAAGTTGAACTCACACTGAAAACCATGTACGGCACTCGAGATGTCCAATTGAAAACTATCCCCTACTTTGCTGACTAGCAAAGCACCATCTGGCTACGTACAGTGACTCGAAATGCCAAAACTACCCCACAAATCCAACTATTATGTAACTGAAGCAACCCTTACCTCGAACCGAAACTCGTCCTCCCGTTATCGAAAACTTCCCCACTGCCGTGCAAACGGAACCCCCGTTTCCCCAACAGGGTGAACCTTCAGAGACGATCCTCTTTAGGGAACGAGCGGGGTTAAATGTGCGTTTTCCTGGATCGCGTATAGAAGGCAAACAGCGCGATATTCTAATCTATGGCGTCCCGATTTGGAGGGGAGAAAACAGGACTGATGAGCCTGTTTTCCAGAGGAGGTCGCGAACCTGCCAGGTTGTCAGATTTTATCATCACTATCTACAGATCGACGATCCTGAGCCACACCATGGGACCTGCTTCTGGATCCTTTTGGAAAATTATCCTGGTACTTTAGGGAGAATGTTCATGTGAAAGGCCGCCGCCCAGCACTGGGTCTAAAAAAGGTACTGGGAAGCAGAGTGGAAAAGCCCTTAAGGGCCTAGCAGGATTAAAAAGTCACATTGGCGGCGCTGTAGGGCAAACAGTCGCCGCGTTCTCGATCTACTTTTGCCCAATCAATACCAGGCAAGGTCGAAAAACGGCAAAATTGGGCCGATCAAGGCGACCGGCCGCAAAAGGCCTTCAGATCCCGGCATTTCAATGGGGGGCCCATACAAACCCCGCAGATGGTCACACTTTGGATTATTTCCAGCGCTCTCAACTTATAACTACTTAAATGTTACATGTGAATCATGTGTCTGCCAAAAAAGATAATGCACTGATCAAGTGGAATAAAGCGCTCCAATTCAAGGAGGCATGAAGAGTTTTCTCAAGGGGCTGAAATTTGCAAAAATCTTTGATGGAAAGCTTTGCAGACACTTGGCAGGTGCTTGAGAATCTGATGGCTCAGCTCGAAGCTTTATTGGCGCGCAGTCAAAGCTCTATTACCTGCTTTTCCGCTGGCAATGATGGGTTTTCCACATTTTCCTTGTTGTCCTCTAGACACACACTTTCCAGCACTTGTTGGCGCGTCTTCTCCTTGAGAATGTCGCGTCTTTGGTCGTCAAAAAACTGCCGTAAATCGCCCGACATCAACGATCATTAATTAGCCTTCAGTTCAAAGTAGATTTTCTTCACGTTATTTCAAGCAAATTTTCCAAACGAAGTTCTGAAAATTTGAAAGTGACAAGCTGTAAACAAACAATTTTGTAAATATACTGGCTGTCAATAGAGTCAACTGCAACTTGAGGTAGACAGAACGACAGTGTTGTAGGTTAAGTTTTTTCTTTAAAGTTCCTGTTTTCATTGCTTACTAGTGGTGACAAGCTTCGTAGTTCCGCCTTCAAGTCTAGGGAAAGTGGGAAATTTTGCTTAAGAACACAATAATTTTTTCTCAGAGACTCAAATGTAAAATTAACGCCTTCACCGATGTTGCCACATAAGAAACATTCAAACAGCGGTCAGAAAGCATTTGAGCTCTAAAAAATAATTAGCAGTTTACTTAGAAAACTACTACTAAATTTTTCAGCGTTGTTTCTACATATAACTACGTCACAAATGAGAAAATGTGAAGTCCGTTTTGCACTGGTACACTAGAGGGGATGATAATAATTGCTCATCGCGACAACGTGGCAATTCAACGTCTTCTTCACACTCTTTGCAGATCTTCATTTGTTTCCCACTGAAGAGTATGTCAAAATTGACATTCAAAATTTCTGTCACGAAAAATCTATAAATACAAATCTCGTAAAAAATCGCCGTTCAAAGAGCAGTTTACAGTTCCAGAACTTTCTTATCGGCCTGCATGTCGCGCTATCGCTGTATCCTGTCTAGCGGTGTATAAAATTTTAGGTTAGTTACCTCCTAGCGGGGCCCCCCTAATTCAGGACGTCAGATTTAATTAATCTGTCTGCAACAGTCTGCTAAAGCCGCGATTATTGCGTGAAAATGGCTGCAATAGACGAAGGAAAACAGGCATCGGCTGAGCTCTTACGACAGGAAACCAAGGCGATGAAGGAAGAGGAGGAGCCTCAAAGCCTCGAGAGCGAAAAATTGATTTTAGAGTCAATTTCGAGCGAAAAACTACCGCTGAATGACAACTCTAGTCCTGCAGGGTCTCCAGACCTGGCTGATGAAGAGACTGAAAGCACCAGGGACTCGAACAGCACGGAACGGGAGGCGGGTAATGAGAGCGACAATCTGGAGGAAAATGAGGCAGCCGAGCTCAAGGAGGAATGGCAGGATATTCTAGGCAAGTCTACCTTGACAAATTATGTTGTTTTGCTCAACTTCGTGTCTCCAGGGTCAGGGGTGATAATGAAGAAAGTACTCAAAGAGGGCCAGCCTGATAGTCGCCCCAGTAGATCCAGCCGCTGCGTGATTAATTACACCTGCAAACTAGAGGAGGCGCATGAAGATGATTTTGCCGATGTGGCTGACAATTATGAGCTGGGGTTGGGCGAAGGAGATGTAAGTGCCCCTATTTACACCTATGACAACTTTTCACCTCCCTCCTGCTAGGTGGTCCAAGGCCTTGACGTCGCCCTAGGTCTAATGAACAGCAGCGAACGCTGCCTGCTGAAAATCGGTCCCAGACTGGCTTTTGGGGATCGGGGGCTTCCGCCCAAAATTCCTGCAGGTGCGACTGTGCTCTTTGATGTAGAGCTAGTCTCCCATCAGCCTGATACTGCATGCGAGGAGCTGAGCGTGCAAGAGAGGCAGAAGATCGGGTAGGTTTTCATTCTCATTTGGAAAATCGCGTGCTCCTTTACTACCGGGGATTTTCAGTAACAAGAAGCGAGAAAGAGGCAACTGGTGGTATCAGCGAGGCGAAAACACCCTGGCAGTGCAGTGCTATCGAAGAGCCCTGGATTACCTGGATGAGGTAGGGGTTTGCACCCCCCATTTGAACCTTGACTCACTTTGAGGCCTTGCAGGTGGAGAGCGAGAATCCGGAGCACCAAAAACCCACAGACGCGGAACTCCAGCGCCTATTGGAGGACCGCCTCAAAGTGCTCAACAACATGGCGTCGGCTCAGATCAAGATGCAGCTCTACGACCAGGCTCTCATCTCCCTCCAAACGGTCCTGCGATGCCAGCCCGACAACGTTAAGGCTCTATTCCGCAAAGCCAAGGCGAGCTACCAATATTATTAACCCATTGAAACTTTATTAACCACTTAAAAACTTCAGATCCATTCCGCCAAAAATGATCTTCCCCAAGCGCTGCGGCTGCTGGAAAAAGCGCGCACTCTAGAACCAGAAGACCCCCACATTGCCAAAGAAATTGCCAGCGTTACTGCGCAAATCAACAAGCAGAAGAACTCGGAACGGGAGTATGCGCGCCGGATGTTCGGCAACAACAGCGCCAGCAGTACCGATAAAAAAGCCCCAGAAAACAAGAAAAAATCTGAAAACACGAAGGTAAGGAGGCGCAAAGGGGCGATAGGGGACTTAGGCTGGTTTCGGTGTTTTTAGGTGCCAGTTTGGGCCACGCTGGGCGCGACCTTCGCGCTGGGATTGGCCGGACTCGTCGCCTACAAGTTGAAATATGCCTAAGTATGTAGTTAATCGAATGTAAATGTTCGCGAGTGTTAGATTTTTTTTTGACCATCAACCAGGAGAGTGGGCACAGGAGGAGCTTCTTTGGATTTTAGTGGAATTAATGCGTTTGAAATATGCATAGTAGTGGGTCGTTGATATCAGTAATTTGTTTTTATATTTTTCAGTACTTGTTTTATGTCAATTAAATACTATTTTTAAGCGCAGTGTTTTATTTATTTGCGCTCCTCACCCAGCCGTTAGTGAAGCGACTTATTTGATTACCTACTCGAGATGTTGGTTATTAGAGAGTTATTGGTCGGCCAATACGTTCATGCAGTATTATAGTTTGGGCTATTTTGACACAAACGCATGCGCAAATCAGTCTAAAAAATAAGTACTGCAAAATTAAAATACTGTTCTGCAGTATTTGTGCCCCGATACTGCACGATTTATTTTCAACGTTAAACTGGCAGTTGATATTTCTGACGTCTGCTTGCAGGTCGTTTAATGCTAAGTACCACTTTGTATTTTCTGCAAGAAGCGACAACGCGGCGCGTGGACAGTCAGAAATGCTGCAAGGCGCCAGCCCTAGCATTAGCATCTCGATATTTGTGAGGTTGCGGAGATTTTGGTTGCAACGCTCGAAGATGTCGCGATATTTGTGCCTGCTCACCATAGGGCTGATCGCCCTCTTTGTGCTGGTGAACGCATCTAGCGACGATGCCGCCAAGAAGGGCCCCAAAGTCACCGACAAGGTATTCTTTCTGTGCGCCCCATTAGTCTTAACTGGGCCCCCTTGTGCTCTCGTGTCACAAAATCCGAAAATCTCAAGTTCCACGTAGGATTGAAGATAAATCAATTTCGTTGGAATAACCTCAAACTGACCAGTGGCGTGGCACTTGGGACTGAAGGGAGTGCCATTCGGGGCGCGTAAACGGGCTGAAGGCCCCCCGAAAACCACGCCCTACTAATATTTTTTGCAAATTTACGTCAAAATGTGGCTGTTTTGGTGGACATTCGGCGCCACGTCATGGTCAAGAGCGCCTCTATTTATATTTCTCTTTGTGTACATACTGAGTTCAACCGCGTTGAAAAGGGGGCTTGTTGATTGGTTTTCACCGGCAAAGAAGCGAAGAGGAGTGATGGGAATAATCGCATTATTTTAATAAAATTACTAGTTTTCACCCATTCTTCTCCGCTTCTTCCTGTACGTAAATGCGAAATTAGCCAGCATTCAAACTAATTCCGGGCCTTTTTGGTGTAAACCAAATAAATTCGCTCTCTAAATAAATCCACTGCGTTGCCTGATACTTGCTAAGTTCCTTTGTTCATTATACAGGGTTGTTCACGCTATACGGCACGGATGTTTGCGGCTAGCCCGTTTGTTTTTTGTAATGTACAGAGCGTCCCAAAAGCCCCAAAAGTATCAAAGTTGTGTTTTTCTAAATGAAATACCCTACATATTATTGCATTTTTGGATTCTCTGAGCAAAATAAGTGTTTGTTTTAATTAGATTTATAATGTCTAAATCTAAAGTTTTTTTAAATAATTCGAATTTTATCAAAATCTAATATTATTTTCATGTGTCAAATACTTGCGAATTATT